ATCTATCCATCCATCCATCCATCCATCCATCCACCTATCTATCATCCATCCATCCACCCATCCACCTATCCATCTATTCATCCATCCATCCATCCATCCATCCACCCATCCACCTATCCATCTATTCATCCATCCATCCATCCATCCATCCACCCATCCACCTATCCATCTATTCATCCATCCATCCATCCATCCATCCATCTAATCTATCCATCCATCCATCCATCCATCCATCCATCCATCCATCCAGCATATATACAGTTTATATACTGTATATATATACAATATGCACATATTTAAGACATGTCCTGTAAATAGGTTTTATGATATTAAGGTTAATGTTCTTGCATAAATGGTCTAATGTGACAAAAAAAACAAAACAAGAAATATAAGATACAACACGATAAGATAAGATACAATAAGAAGTCCTTTGGGGATCCCACAGTGGTGAAATCCACAAATGAAATGCAGATGTGTTTCCTTCCACAAAACATGCATGATTTGTTTGTTTGTTTGTTTGTTTTGACCCTTGTCTTTTTCACTCCTGTGGGGAGTGAGATCCCATAACACATTGCTAATGCAGAAAAAAAAAAAAACCATCCATGTCAATTAAAGCTCCCCATGTGCACTCTGCGACAGCGGGGCAGCAGATATAAAGTCAATGTCAGTAGATATAAAAAAAAAACACAAGTGAAATTAAATGAAACCGGCCGACTGACCTTTCGGGTTCAAATCCAGCTTGGATCCGTGTAGCGCTGTATCTCTGGGCTGCAGTCTCGTGCCCGTGTCCATGTGGTGAAGGATGAGCGTAGGCACCAAACGCATGAGGTTGCTCGCCATCCCTGTTCAAGATGCGAGGCCGCGCCGGCTCCATGTCCCCTACAATCCTCCGGTAATCGATCTGGTAATTGTCCCTTTCTCCGTCTCCAAAGCGGTCATAACAATGACCCTCCATCTCAGGGAAATCCAGGGCTGAAACTTATCCCCAGAGCCCTACCTATATCTCTTTAAGCTCTTCTGCCTCCTACCACACACACACAACGCACGCACACAAATAAAATCACACCAGGTAAATAGTGGTTCCCAATAGACGGGCAGCAACACGCTTAGTTTGCTGTTCAATTGAACGCTCTAATAAACATCTCTGGCCTTGAGTGTATGCTCACACACAAACACCTTTCAGACACACCTGATATCTGGAGAAGGTCACTTGCAAGGATTTTACCTTGCGTTTGACGCAAATAAATAAACGAAAAAAAAAATTTAAAAAAAACCAAACTTCAGCTTTGCAAGTCAAAATCTCCCGTCGAAGTTTCTGCTTTTGTTTTGTTTTTTTCTCTCCTTTCCAGAGATCCTTAAACAAACGACAGCGGCGGTCTACTTGAAGCGATGATGTTTTACATGAGAGCTTCTCATCCTCAAGAGACCTTCGCGGCTGCAGCCATGGTGCTCTGTGCCGCGCTCGCCTGCTGTCAAAGGAAAGTGCCTTCCTTGTGTAAGTTGTGCAAGTTCGCTAACTAGCAAAAAGCCAAGCAAAAAGCTCCCGATAATAGAGATCAGATATCGTAAGGGCCCAGGGACCACGGAGTGCGGAGTTTTCCCTAGAGCTTAGGAGCGTTTCTCTCTCTCTCTCTCTCCACTCGCTTCTCTTGGTGCCTACTGGGCTTAACTCTGTTTCTGACAGCAGAAGACGTCACTCTCCCGCAAAGAGGATTGGGAGCATTAATACAGGATGGGATGGGATAGGGTGGTGGTGGGATAGATGTCATAGGGTGGAGAGCACCAGTAGGACTGTGGAAGAGAAGGATAGGCCGTGAGCACGTGTCTGTTTTTGGAGATCCCAGGGAGTGAAGCTCAGCTCGGATCCGACAAAAGCTTTTTGTTTATTTCAGACAGAACACGGTCTAAAGGTTTTAGGAAAAAAAAAGTCGATGATGAAAGTCGATTAGTCGGTGATTCTGTGGCATCTCGTGTTACCCCTTTTTTTTTTTTTTATGGGAATTAATATTAGGTATTATAGTGAAAACAAAACGGCTGTTAAATTACACTCAGCCTAGAGAATAACTTTGTTGCCTAGGTTGCCCTCTACCCCTTCATTTGCAGGTGACTGACTGACTGACTGCTTGTGACAGTTACCGAGGATTTGAACCAGAAAAGCTTCTTACCTAGTCTCTCTCTCTCTCTCCCTCTCCCTCCCTTTCTCTCTCTCTCTTTCTATCTCTGTCTGTCTTTTCCTTTCTCTCTCTCTTTCTCTGTTACTCCCTTCCTATCTTCCTTTCTATTCCTCTGTCTCTTTCCCCTCCAGCTATCTTTCTTTCCCTGTGTAGTGAACCGGCACTCTGCTTAACATAAACAACAACACATACACAGTAGTCAATATAGTACAATATAAATTTATTAGCAAAAAATTATGAAAAATATGTATTTTTTTCTAGATAGATAGATAGATAGCTGGGAAATTACAGTAATTATTTGAACTGAAATTAATTGCAATTAATTGAACTGAAAAAGAAAAATGTAAAAACTGCCAACTGGCATTGGCATTACTACACGGCTTGGTGATGAAATTCTTTTGACCCTCTGCTGGTACGATGGCCAAGTCAAATACTGATGTAGGTCACTGGACATCTGAAAGAGACAATAGTGAAACGTTTAAAACTTACAGAACTATCCGTAAACGTTCTGTAAAATATCTTTCGGGAGGTTCTTAAATGTCGACAACAAATCGTACTACGTTTCTCCAGTAGCTCAGGGTGATGTTTCTCCAGGACGGAGTAGAAGGCGGCTTTAACAGCCACCCCCCCTGGATGGAACGTCTTTAGAAAGAGCTCCCTCATTTGTTCCTGGCTCGTCTTTTTAGCCTCGATGTCTGCGCGTGTTTCCCTGTGGACCATTTCTCCGAGTTCCTCGACAATTGCCATGACCTCCGTTGTGTTTTGAATTAACGCAGCTCTGTTGTCATCCACAAATTTGGCTGTTTTGAAGTGAGAGAGTTAACAGCAGTAGGATGTAGCAAAAATAAACGATTGGACGACAAATCAAATATTATGAAGGCGCTAACCTTTAGCGATAGCATTCATACTTTCAGCGGATCTGCTTATTCTGTCCTGTTTGCAAAAGTAAAGAAGGCACAGATCTGCTTATTCTGTCCTGTTTGCAAACGTAAAGAAGTCTTAGGCACGGTGCGAAGGGTACAATCGTAAGATATTACATGAGAAAAATGCTAACTCGCATTTTGTTCTGATCTCCTACATTTACCAAAACTTTACCTCAGGTTTGACATCGGCCTCTGCTTGTGCAATCCTGGATGCATTCACAGTTTCGTTTAAACTCATCCGTCCTAAAAAATATTAAAATATGTTATTTTATCACCTGCTACACCGGTACTTGTACACTGAAGTGACTTGTATACGTTTTCTTTTTTCATTATGCATTTTTTTTTTGGCTGGTGCGACTTATACTCCGGGAATACGGTACGCACATTTTCAGAAAAATCACCAACCAATTATTTCAATATTCTCCGCTTCAACACGAGTCCTAAACAAACCTTGTGTTTTATTGGATTCATCGCCGCTTGTGTTGTGGGTGCTCATATTTGACTCCTTAAAAGAGAGACAACAATAAATCACTAATCCGAAACTGGTTGGTAAAAAATATCAAGACTAAAGACAATAGTCACGCTCTCTAATGCAAACAACAGTTCATTTAATTAAAGTAAATTCATAAGTGGTACCAGTTGTGTCAGAACATGCTTTATGGCAGCATGGATATCCTTCCTGTGCTTTGAGTAAACATCCTCAGTGACGTTGAGGCACTCTGGAACACAAACCAATTATTATTATGGCTCAATACGACATTTTTTCATGTATGATACCGACAACGATACCGCAACTTGTATTTGCTTGTACCGAGTACCTGCTGATATCGATATCAATCCGATACCTTCGTTTTTTTCTCCTCCAGCATTTAGGTATCAGATCGAAACAATTTATAGTTGTTGTTTTTTTATTGTTCGATCCTGGAATTTTGACCAGTATTGGACCGATAATGATCCTAAGTAATTGCCAAAATGTTTATATAATTGTACTATTGTATTTATAATTCCGGGATTTATATTTATATTCATTTAATTCCTTTGTCTGATTGCGATTAGCTGACGTTAATATGGCAGACTGAGAAGTATTATTACATTTCGGAAAGAACTAAACAGTGGTTTGTTCACTTGTTCTTCTTTTGATTTCCGAAACAGAATCTTTAAAGATGAATTGGCTTTTTGAATCCATTACACAAGTGATTTGGAGTTTGTTTTGTAAGCATTTTAAAACTATTTTTTGTTATTTATGCCAGTAACTTTTTGAATCCAAATGAATTCGCTTCATGCTAATTTAAGCATAGATTATCATTCCCACAGAATTCTATACTATAAGTCGTACTTTTTTTTTTTCATCCTTTGGCTGGGTTTGTGACTTATACTCAGGTGCGAGTTATATATTAAAATATATAATTTCACAACTTACAGTCCGGAAAATATAATAATCCTTATCCGTTTGACCTTCGTTATCTAAAAGAATTTCTATTTTAAGATCTCTCATGAAGGCACGTGGTATCCTAGAATACCCAGTGTATTGCCGTGTGGTCACTACAAAAATATTCAGCATGTGATGAATATTTACCTCTAGAATTAGGCCTCTTCAAAGGGTTTCCATCCCAGCATGTCTTCATCAGGTCAACCAACTCCTTCAACCCTTCTACCTCCTCTTGGTTAATGTCTTTGTAGGAAGGTCTCTGTCCCAAAGGGATCTGCAGTGCCACAAGACTGTTGTCAGCCACTGTATAAGAATTGAACAAAACAAAAACAAAAATATTGTGGTTTTTCCTTTTCTTGTGAAGGACTTATATGAAATAACAAACAGAATTGACACTTGCATGGATAGGGCTCTTTTCCTGTGAGAAGGGACCACAGGAGGATAGCATAACTTGGGAAGAATTCGCACAAAAACGCACACAATGTTAGAAATGTTTTGTGTTGTCGAATAAACAATTCCGATGCATCGGTCTGCTTGTTACCTGTATATGTCAAAAGCACGGACAGGTTCATAAGATACTTCAAAGGCCTCGGGAGGCATGTACTTGCGGGAGCCTCCAACTTTGACCGTCGTCTTGCAGCTCGAAGCACTGGTTGAAATCCTGGACAGGCCAAAGTCTGCTAGCTACTGAGCACACAAGGACATGTAACACCAACAAAACACAGCAATGGTATTTTCAATTGATGTTTTCTACCTTGGCATGTAGGTCATCATTGAGCAAAACGTTACTTGGCTTCAGGTCCTGGTGTATTATTTTCCTTGAATGGAGGAAGTTCATGCCTAGAACCACTTGATTGGCCAAACGAAAGGTTAAAGGCCATGGAGGATGTCCGTGGAGGTCCTGCAGCAACGTTTGCACCGAGCCTCTGCTCATGAATTCCATGACTATTCCCCTTTCAATGCTAATGCCCCGAAAGGGTAGAACACCCTCAAAGGTTCCATAAACCCTCAGCACAAACTCACAAGACACCTTTTCCATGTGAGAAATCTCTTGAAGTAAGGCTGCATCTTTGGGCATAACATTTCTGTTCCAAAAAGGTCAAAAGAGAGGACACAGGTAAAAGTGCAATTATAATATTTCACATTGCTTTAATAACCAAACTGGTCAACACATTTTTTTTTTCTAGTTAATGCATATATTACCATATTTTCCAGACTATAGGTTGCACTTTTTTTCATGCTTTGGCTGGGTTTGGCTCGGGTGTGACTTGTATATTAAAATATATAATTTCACATGTTTGTTATTTTCACACTGACAGCCGCTAGAGGGCACTCGAGGCTTGTGTACCAGGATCTATTACTCCTGTACCAGTGAAAATGTATCGTGCTCGTTATTTTCACACTGATAGCCGCTAGAGGGCACTGATACAACTTGTACTCCGGTGGACTTATATGGTATATGTTATTTTCTTCTTGATCATACATTTTTGGCTGGTGCAACATAAAATTACGGTAGTTAAAATTGGCAACTATTCTAGGCACATGGATGCAGTGTCTTTATTCACTTTAACGCTGAAAGTTCGTTGATTACTGAATCTGGAAGAGGAATTTTAGTTACACATGTGTCTCATGGGAGAAAAGGAGTGAGGGATGTGCTACTCTGTTCACGCCCACACCAAGTATTGACATTATGGCTGTGTTTCAATGACTAATAACAACTAATACCAATGCAGAGTGTAAAGAATGTAGGTTAAAACATCCGGAAACATTGGAACTGACCAACTATCAATGCAGTGACGTTTGCATTACTTTGTTCTCTGTTAAATATTATAACCCTTTATAGCTCATAAGAAATATGATTTAACTGAATTTGTGATTATTTGAACGTTTAATTTTACGTTATTATTGCCATTTGGGAGCAGAAAGAGTTAACTCTTTCTAGGCAGTTTTTTTTTTTTTAAAATGACT